ATCTTTGTTTTTATATTGAGATGACAACTTATTAGATCATTTTGAGTCAACTTATGTTAATATATTTATTTATGAGATTGTGATAACTTTATAGGAAAAAAAAAACATATTAAAGCTCAGTTTTCAATTAATCAAATATTGAAAAATAAAATTTTAAAAAATCAATTAAAAAAATTAAAAAAAACTCGAGTTAACCTGCCAAACTTAAATAATGAGGCCGAAATAACCCAGTAGAAAGTAAATCTAAACAAATTATGAAGCTCAATTTCCAATCAACCCAACATTGAATAATGAAATTGAAAAAAAAAATCCATTAAGAAAGCCAATTTGATTAACTTGTAAAATACATAACTCGGGTCATAAGGTTAGAATAATCTAATAGAATTAAAATCAAAATAAATTATAAAATTTAATTACCAATAAATTTAATGTTAAATGATAAAATTAAAAAAAATAAACAAAATATTGTCCAATAAAAACAATAGTTTCCCTCTTCGTGTATAGTTTTTGTTAATTTTTAAAACTCATTATACTAACTTTTTGATATTTTTATAATTTATAAATTAACAAATAAATAGTTTGAAATTTATAAGAAAAAAAACTTTTTTGAGTAAAAATATTGGATGGTATATAAACTTTTACATGTAAATAGCTAGTTTTGTATAACATTATGTTATTATTATATATATATTGCTCAACTTTTCCATGCATAGTGTTATTGCTAGAAAAGTATGATAAAATTTTGACCTAGCTTTCAAAGCAAGCTAGCACTTGGGACGTGGGTCCTCCATTAGAGGGCACGCGACTCTCTTAGAATTCTATTTAAGAGCAAGGCGGCCTCCACATTTCTTCATTTCATTGCATCCTTATCAGTTAGCTAATCAATTTCCGAGAGTTTCTTAGTAACCAGTCTACAAAATATCCAAGATATGGTTCTTTCCAATAGCAGAGACGTACCGTTTAAACACGCTTCTCCAGAACAGTTTTACGGTGTCTTCAAAAGCCACGCTTACCTCTTACGTGATACCTGCCGTGATGTTGTGTCCAAAATTTATCTTGATGACGATACCCAGACCTGGGAAGCTGCTCCTGGCCACCACAAGTGGATTCAATTCCGCTCTCCCTCTCGTGCGTAATTAAGGATGCCTGTGTTGTGATAAGAATTTAAGATGAAGGGATTTGTTTTTTTTTTTGTTTTAAGTTTGAGTTTTTGGTTTTATATGATAATTATTAGAGGTTTATATAGTTATTAATTTTAGGATTTGAACACCCATATTAATTTAAAAAAATAAAAAATACATATGCAATAATAATTGAGAGGCACTCTGTTGTTTCTTGGTTTGGTGACTTTATTCCCTTTGCATGTATTTCTGAAAAGTATTTTTAGTCGCATTTCATTTATATAAATCATAATGTATAAGTTTAGATCATCACGTCTTTAATTTTACTAATTAACAACATTTCTGGAAAAAAAAAATAACTATCCTGGCCGGTCCGTATTATAGGACCGATTCATACATGTGATGATCATTTGAACTATAGCTAGGATGGATTCACTCCAGAATATTTATATATCTTAAATTATTTTATAATTAAGCACCATGCACCATTGTTTTGTAATCATCAGATGAACTCTACCAAATCAAGGATGAAGTGGAAAACGTAAACGAGACCTCGAAGACCATCAGCTACAAAATAAAGGAAGGGCCAATACTAGCCAACATCAGCGGGTTCGCATTAGAGGTTAAAAATAGCAACGTTGCAGAATGGACAATCTCTTATAACGACACATATCCCGAAGAGTACTTCAATCTTTTGGCATCTATCACCAAGGGTGTTGATAAGCACTTTGCTAATGAAAATTAGCCAGCATAATAGAACATGCATGCATGCCCCTTCTAATATATAGTGTTACTGGTATTTGTATTGAGAAATAAAAGTTCCAAAGGTGCGTGTATACATGCATGCATGTTCCCATCCGCTCATAATTAAGATGTACAGCGTCTTGTCTAGCTAGCTACCATATTCACAGAGATGGCAAGGTGCTTGGCTCTTGATATGCTTACCTTTTAATTGAAAGGTGCAGCATGAAAGGGCAACGCCTTCATAATCATGTGGGTATTTATATAATAAAGCTAGCCACCCCTCTATGTATCTTGTTTGTGTCGATTTATATTAATAATATGTGTGCCTTAATTACTTACCCTCATAATCAGAGGATGTTGTGTGATTGTAGAAAACAAGCGTAAATTAAGTTTTCAAGCTGTCAAAAATGGTATGCGTACTTACACCTAACCCTGAAATAAAATAAACTTGCATGACTTTGCTTGTTGTCTTAACATGATAAAAGGCAGAGTAGTATTAATGGAAGGAAAATTCTAAAGTAAATTCTAGCTGATGGAGGTGAAGTTGTCGAGAAAAGTTAATGCTAATTGCTGCAGAGATTTCAATTGGATGTTCTCGTGGAACCTCCGGTAGAGGAGATTATGAATCAATCAAACAGATAAAAAAAAAATAGTAAATTGGGGGTGGAATTTACAACCTACAATTTAATTGGATTTTTGTTAACCACAATTTTAATTCGCTTTCAGTCACGGATTTTGAACAAAATATATATTAAATTTAAGAAAAAACTTTGTGCACATGTTATTCTACAGGGGAAAAAAACAATTACAAAAAATTGACGGGTATTTTACAGTATTATTATGTATTTTTTTAATTAACTGATATCAAATTTCGGAAATTAATGATTTTATCAAGAAGCATCATAATAGGAAAACATGAAAAAATAAGATTTTTATTCTTGTTTTAATTAAAGGTTGCTTAAATTGTGATCCCTTTTTGTACATTGTTTGTGGGATTATTTTTTTACATGTGGAATATTTGTTTATAAGTTAACATCATATATATGTTGGAATTGAAAATTGAAAAGAACATTTTGCGTTTAAATTATGAAGAGTGATAATTGTAGGCCTAAAGCCATTAACATCTATAATTAATAGCAATTATGAATACAAGAAATTGTATATGTAGTCCCGTAATTTTGGTCACCAAGATGTTTATATTTCACATCATTGAAATCAAAATAAAAAAAAAATAAAATTGATAAAAACAAAATATCATAAATCTAAATTAAATGATAAAATTAAAAATAAATATTTTTTTATAAAAAAAAAAAAAAACAAGCTATATATACATCACCTAAATGTCATAAGTGCCTCCCACACAAGCTAACTATTTTTTATTTTTTAATATTTTTATATTTTTGCAAAGATCAAATTATCTCCCTCAACTAACTTGATTATAACAAAAAAAAATCATTGTTAAAATAAATAAAAAAAACTTTAAGACTAGTTTTGATATTTTATATTTTCAATGTTATTTTGATTACTTTCCTATATCATTGTTATTTTTATATTTAGTCAAATATTAAATCTCTCCTCAGCTGCCTAATAATTATAGAAAAACTATTATAAAATTACAAAAAAGTCCATTGAGGCTAGTTTTGACTTTTTATTGCCTCAAATGTCATTTTAATAATTTTAATATGCTTTTAAAATGGGAACTATATTTTCAAAATAAAAAAGACTTAATTATCTCCAATCAATTTATTAATAACTAATTAACCCTGTAAAAAAACTTGAATGGCGCTAATAAAGTTTTTTAAATGGGAAGAATAAAACTATAAAAACACTGTTCCAGTAATTGTTTTAGCTTCAAATCAGAACGATATCTACACGAAAAAGGCTATAATTAACCTCAGTGATATGGTTTGTTTCATGTATTTGGGTATAGTTCTACCTAACACAAACATGAATTTTAATTTGGAACCTACCCGTACACATATTGCCAACAATTTTAAAAGGGTGTGCATCAAAAAATCAAATCAAGCATTTTACTAGCGTGTAGCAATTGAAAAATACAGAAATGCATCTATATCCATGAGATACCTGCTTCAAAAGGTGCTTGCAGAACAACCTTCAGATTTTTATGATTACACCAAGGAGAACAATGTATCAAGCAAGTCTAGCACAGTCCAATAAAATCATGAAAAACTATGATCAATGCACTGCATCCAAACAGAGAACACTCATCCATTTACAGTACAAGAGGCATGAGGAGAAATGCCACTATAACCTTCAAGCAATTGCTAGTTCGATATTAGCGAAACCAACAAAGTGAAGTTTGATAGTGAAACTTGGGAAATTACTCAAGCCAAACAAAGCCAGTAAGTAATGATCAGGGAAATTGAAGAACATGTAAGAACAGTACACCATCACATAAAAAGAAAAAATTAGGAACAAATGAAGCAACAATAGCTACAACGAAAACAATCTAGCTAGCTACAGGAAATGAAGTTTGGGGAGTAGATTGGAGCTCTAATAAAAGATCTTCAAATTACAAAAGCATGTAAGAAGCATGATTAGTCTCTTCATGCTTCTCAAGTAATCAAGATTATCTACCATTGCATTGTTAGCTTTATAAACAGCATGAAGCATGTAAAATCCTAATACAAGCTTTATTCGAACACCTTCTCATAATGTGCTTGTACAAAAAAATGCTCGATCCCTTGACTTTCATCATAGATCATCATTGCAATCTGAGTGAATACAACAAATTAGTGTTGTTCTTTTATACCTACATTCGCATGAATATGAAATGAAGGAAGAGTCTTGGTGTCAGCAAACAGGAAATCGGCTTTGGATTCCATCTAATGTTTTTATACTCCAATTCAGTATCAAATTAGTAACTATGTTTCAGTGACTGAATAATAAAATCAGACATATGGAAACATCAGTACTAGCAAAAATGAAATATTTTAGATCACTGTTGAACCATCTAAGGTGATCAGTTGCCATTTGTGAGATTTTTTTTTTTTTTAATGAATCTAGCAAATTCGTTACGAAGGTGAAAAAACAACTGAAATGGTTGAGGAATAAATGAATTCCACAATTCCATGACATTGGTTGTGTTCGTTCTCTCAACTTTTGACCTTATCTCTAGAAAATACACAGTCCTAATCCACTCAAAGTCAAAAATAGCATTCTCCATCTTTCATCGCTTGATCTTCTTCTAGGCTTGCGCTGCCCTACAAAAGGATAGAAGAACAACATTCTTTCATTTTGCAAGGGATAGAAGCAAGAGACCAGGTTATTAAAAACCATAAAATCTTCATGCATAAATAAAGCAAGATTCACATCACAACGATTTCAGCACTGAAGGCCCTTCCTCATCTTATTCAAACCTATCGCAGTTCTAGGCCTTCAAAGTTTCCCTCACTCCTAAGCACCTAATTCAAAACGGGTTTCACAAGATATCAGAAGACAAACTTATATAACATCAAACCGAAGAGAAATCGGCAGCTATCATAACACAAATCCATACAACAAAAAAACCAACAGCCTGATAGCTATTACAATTAAGTCAAATTTCCCCCCATCAAAATCTATATTTTAACTCATAATATAATTCAAATTTCACCTAGACACAAAAGGGAAATGTCAAACAACCCACAAAGCTAAGCTCACAGCCAATCAACCAGTTCATTTAAAGATACAGTAAATTTACCTTCAGGCGTCCAGCCATAGCTGCGGCGAGAAACGGAGAGCATTGAATTAAGCAATGCGGAGGAAGTGGCAGTGTGGTATGGAAGCATTGTCTCTACACAGCAACTCATCTCCACTGGTGACCTTTCAAATTCAAAGCCCACCAAGAAACAATTTGACCTTAAATGCAGAAAAAAATCGTAACAGTAATAAAAAGGGTGGCGGGGTTTATTTTTTGGTACCTGAAAATATGAGGGGAGAAGGGGCCTTGTTTGAAGATGCGTGTTGGTTATTGGATTAAGGTTGCTCCTCTATAATAAATGAATCTAGTTCAGAAAAATTACTAAAAAAATTTATAGTTTCCTTTAATTATATATAAAAATACATAATTATATGGAATATATAAGTGTGTTATTATTAAAAAAAAAAAAATTATATGTTAATCTATGTGTTAATTTTACAAAATTTATAAAAACATTCATATTATAAAATATCATTTTAATTCTAATAATTAAAATAACATTAAAAGAATTAATATAAAAATAAAAAATAAAATTTTACAAGTAGTTTTTCTTTTCGTTCAACAATACAAAATGAAGAAAAAGCTGGTTTGGATCCGGGTTTCGATGCGGATGCCATTCTGGCAGCGGTGGAGGTAGAATGGAGGAAGGACCTCGCAGCTGCGGTGGCGGACAAGGCTATTTGGGGTAGAGCGTGATATTTTGATTCGATTGTTTTGGGCTCTGGATTCTTGTGGTTTTGGCAGACGACGTTGTGAGTGTTATGTATATGTGCTTGTACGAGGGAAACGGGTGCAGGCGGGTAGTCGCTTCTTGTTTGTTAATGTAGTCCTCCACATCATCCTTTTAATGTTTTGTCGAGAAATTATTAAATACAGTCTCTCACCAAGAGGAAAATGGGATACATAAATATTTATTATGATGAGTCTCATTTTCATTTGAACGAGAGAGCATTGTTCTGAGAATATATAATAATCTCTTTATCTTGTCAATAACTGTTGGTAATGTGATTGGTTTTGTTGGCAGTGAACAGACAAGACAGGCTTTGTTTGGAGAGTTGCCTGCCACGGCTGTTTCTTTGGAGATTTGGAAGTTGAACTGTACTTTGGATTAAAAGTGATGAGGTAATTTCTCTTAAGGTTACGTCTTTGGCACTGAATAAAGGACGTGAATTTCTATTAATCAAACTAGCTAACAATCACACATTGTTACTCTCAGATATTATATGCTTCACCTTTGATTTTGAGATTGCTTTTCACAGTTTTGCATTGATGACTCTCCAACTTTCCTCTAGCACCAATCTCATTCCCAAGCTGATGTGGAATAAACTATATATGTAATACAAGGGCTAAGCAAATCAGGTGCTTTAGCAATTCGCGCAGCAGAGAAACCAGGAAGTTCTGCAGTAGGAATTTTGAGTTTGCCCCCAGCGGAACAATGCTTTATGGAAATGTCAATTGAATAGTAATGTTCAATTCACAAAAAATCCTTCTAAATACACAACAGAACAGAACAGGTATGATAAATGCCAGTGATGTTGTTTCCCTTTAAATGCCTCGTCTCACAAAAAAAAAAAAAATCATTGTCTCGACTTGCTCTTGCTTCTGCTCATCTTTTCTAGGGTGCCAGCTAGTAAAGGAATGCAAATTCCATGAGACATATCTGCCCTGCGTGCTCCAGAGACTTCAGAACTTGCAGCCCTAATAGCTCTTACGGCTATTTTTTCTTGTTCATCTGCATGGACTCTCCTTGGGAAGTACAAACCTCCATTCCCTGGTCTGATTCCAATTAGCCGGCCCAGTGGCACACTTTTGTCTTGGAAGAAGGATGCTGTTGACTGTAACATAAAAAACAGCACCACAAGAATTACTTCCAGTGGAAACAACTTAAGATGGACTTCAACGCAGCAGAGGTTCTTGGCGGTTTATTTTGGAAGGCAAAAGGAGCTTGTTTTTTTCTTCTCAATTTTCACATGATCAGTGATTTGGTTCAAATACTTGTTTGAAAACAAGAAATATGCACTGGCAAGACAATTGGAAATAATTAGAGTAAGAGAAGCACCGGCAATGCAACTTCTCAGGATTCTTTTCCATGATCTCTACTATATCTCCTATGGGGAGATGAATGGATACATCTTACAAGTTATTCAGAAATCATTCCTGCTGAGCTTAGACTGGAAGGTTCGGTTTACCAATCTAGCAACTAGGATAGTGAAAAATCGCAGTCATGCGCCACAGCACACGGACACAGACACTTTTATACCAAGAAATCTGGAGGAGGAAGAGCAGATTTTTACCTCAGTGTCAAGGTTGGAGGATGAGAACGAAGAGAAACTAGATGAGCGTATACGCAAGTAATACGGTTCTGCTGGAGCAGCCTGTATTGCCTCCATCACTCGTAGTCTTGTGCTCATCAGTCCGAGTGGCCATCCATTTGATGCCTCATTGCCCTGGGAAGAGGCATTGATTAATACATAGCTGAAGCGGATCAATCTCCTACTGATTAACTCTCAATATGTGTGGCCAATATAACTTAATGGCATCTTGACATTCTAATTAAGCTAATATATAGAAGGCCAGGATCTTTCAGCCATGTCCAAAGAAAACGGATAAACTACAAAAAACTAGAGAGAGAGAGAGAATGACAGAGTCCAGAAAGAGCTGTCATAATCTCAGCCTGTGAAGAAATATCACAAAGAATTCTGTGTTGAGGACTCAACTCTAATAAATTTTCCAGTTTGCTTTTGACTAAAAGAAATGAGCGAAACTGCAGGGTGACTACAAGCCAGAGCCTAGACCATATCTATGGAAATTACTGCCCTTATACCTCCTATTTTCAAGCGAAATTCTAAAAGCATTAAAGTCTTTCATGTTTCCTTCCCTTGAAAAAATGTTTTGGAAAATCAAGCAAATGCTTCTCATTAACCGAGAAGACTTTGAATGGTAACACTAACAGCTAGGTGAAAGCAATTTGTGATCAGGAAAGGACGCATCAACTCGGAAGTGGCAGCACTTGCACCCATCTCTTTTGCGGGAGGAAGCTCAAGAGGAACAGTCAAAGACTGAAAACTCAATTGATAGCTAATTGTTTTGGCGGGTAATATACAAGATTTCTTCAGGCATTTGAGCCTTCATGTAATTAAGTGCCTATACAGTGAGCACTTCTGATACTATGTAGACTCTGGGACTTTATATCCATAATTTCTATCTCATTATTTTTTCCGTCTTGGGCAAATTCAAATCCCAACAAATGTTATACTTAATATTCAATAGCAATTAGAATTAGTACCGAGTAAAATGAACTCCAAAAAGATTCTAAAAATACAAATCCCTCCTCTGCCATTGCAGGCAGTTTTCTCTACTAAGACAACATCTGTGCATAGATTTATATGTAAACAAGACTGGGACACAAGCTGTTTTCAGATTTGAGGTTTCGGTACTCTGACCACAAACTCGAGACATTCTAGGCAGGACATCCCCAGATCCATGGAAGGGTATAAATACATGTTGAAGTTTCATCAGATACAACCTCGAATCGCCAAATGAAGGACATATTTCTCCTCTCAATATACAACAAGTTGAAAAGAGTAGTAATCGGAACCTCTCATGGGTTTCTCCATCAGAAACATTTTTACATACTGCAGAACGATCCTTCTGGCTTTCACGTATAAGACCGATAGTAGTTACTTTCTACATCAAAAACTTTGAAAAGCGTAGAAATGCAAATACTTCTTCTTGGTATACACATTCATTACCCATCTGCTTTGTTGATATAATAATCATTGCATACAGCTGCATGTAAATCACACATGTCTAATTCTAACCATGAAATTAATGTTTGCAACCATCAGTAAACTAATCAGTAATCAGCATTATTTTCCAGAAATCAACTCCACAAGCCACCAAATAATTTCCCAATAGCAGAATTAATATAATTTGTCATTTCAGGAAATTCTCTGCCCTACCTCATTAATAACGAGAAAACCTCAACTCTATACCAGCAATACAATCTAGTACTATAGATATCTAAGAGATTTCCCAGAAAGGAAAAGAGAAAGAGAAACCTGCACAAGACTGGAACTAACAAAACATGCTAGAAACATGTTTATTAAACTTGACATGCAACAAATAAGAATTATCGACACGAAGAAGAAGAAATCTTACCTCTGCTGCCATGATGCCTGTTTTCTACAGCTCCGTCCACATGGAATGAAATGGAAGAGGAAGAAGAAGAAGAAGAATATGGTCAAAGTCTCACAAAGAATTTAATCACTCTCAATCTGAGTAAGAAATTGTGTGTGACAGGACCAATGAAAGAGTTTAAGCTCACTCCAAATTCTTACAATCAAAGTGACATGGGTCCCACGTATACAGTTTTTCTTTAATTAGAAATCGACAATCACCGCCAAGACTTCAACCATTTAACTTACCGCCATATTTTAAAACCCTTCATCGTACTCCGATGAGCCAATTAAACAGTCAAAGTGAAGTAGAAGCTGGTTTTATGATCATAAAGCTCCAGTTTTATGACTTCTGGTTAATGGGGTCTTTGCCCACCTGCCAATGGTTGATCAGAAGAAGCTTTACCTTAAGCAGGACACAATATGTGGAGTAGCTGAAGCATCACGCTGCTATTGAGGGCAACAGGACCCCTCTTTATGTCCGTAGCTATCAAATAGTAACCGCTAAAAATTTACTGCTCATGAATTATTTTGTTTGTCGACAAGGAAATAATTTGGTAACTTCTTCTCTGTGGAAGAGAGGACAAATCTGGAACTGAAGTTCTACCTTGCTACTATCTTAAAAGTCATATAAAAACAAAGAAAAAAAGCTCATAAAATTCTACTAGGACAATTTGTGCTGTTTCATGGTCTTTTCACTTGGACCGTTGCTGGGGTCTGTTAATATAATAGCCAGCAAGCAATGCAAAAACTTTTGGATCATCATTAAACGCTTAAAAATGGAGTTAAATTAGTTGCATCATCCATTGTTATTAAACCTACAATATCCTAGTTAGGGTAAATTAAAAAAAATAAAAATATTAAAACTACATTATTTAAATTTTTTATTAGGTTTATAAAGATCAACAGGATCCCAAGTTAACCTAAATTTGTTATCAGATCTCACCATCAATTTCCTTTATATTTTTTTATAAGGCATGGACTTGGCTAGCTCCAAGCTAACAGACCCTGGATTGACCCGCGTGGACTGATAGAGGTTTAACAAGGGTATCACCCGTATCTGGGTTGTTAGAGGCATTGATTAAGTACCATTTGTGGGCAAGCCTATTAATTTGACATTCTTGATTTCATATGAACTACTGGCCTGCATTGCATACAGGTGAAACAAGGGTATCACCCGTATCTGGGTTGTTAGAGGCATTGATTAGTACCATTTGTGGGCAAGCCTTTTAATTTGACATTCTTTTTTTTAGATTAATTTGACATTCTTGAATTCATATGAACTAACACTGGCCTGCATTGCATACAGGTGAAACATACAGACACGTGGACGATAATATAAGACCTGGAGGGATTTTACTCCTTGTTGCTGTTTTCAACCGAGGAATTTAATCTGCTCAACTAACCATAAATCACCATCCACCTAATTATATTTGAAGTATGTATGTGTATATTAAATGATAAAATAATAAAAATTATTTATATATGTGTGTTTTATGTTAATATTAAGGTATGTATATATTATATTATATTAAAAAATTTAAATATTTTTCAAATATATTTATCTAATATAAATATATATTTTAAATTGTAATGGGATGAATTTTGAGTTAAATTTGATAATATTCATGTAGTAAAAAAAAAAATCGGTCGGATTAAATTGTCTTCCAAGGTACTCCAGATATGATGAAGGCAGGCTGGGAGTCAGATGGGCATTTATCACCAGTGCATGGTTACACAGATATAAAATATATGG